GGTCTCCGTCAGGGGAAGCGGGGGTTTCTCAGGGAAGGGATACTGAATCAACCACAGCAAACTATCTTGATGCTATGGGAAGCCAGGAGGAGAACGAGGCCAACATGGCTCCATCAATGACCTGAAAATCAAAAAGGGCTTGTACAGATAGTGGCAGCAGGGACAAATTTCTGAGGAGTACAGAAGTGCAGTAAGCAATGGAGATGTGGCCATGTGGGTCCCAGTGTATTAAATAGTTCTTGGAAATGTGTGTTAAGGAGGGATGGGAAGTAAGGATGTTAAAAAGTGGTTTTTTTTGTAAACATATAACTGCTGAAATCTTTCAGCGGTTATGCATTTGCATGCAGGGGAGCCCTTTCCCTGCCACCCCCCATCTGCTGCCTCTCATACAGAGCCAGGGGTAGAGGAGGAGGGGGTGCACTTGTGTGTAACCATGAAGGTTACCTAATGAGCCTAGGCTCATTTGTTAACCATTAAAACAAATACACTGTCACATCCCTAATGGGAAGATTTAACCAGTTAATTTGAGGTGACTGGAGCAGCTCCCTGCCGGCTGTGGGCAGGGTGCTGCTCCAGCCCTGTAGGGGGCCTGCAACGGGTAGGGGCTACATCCCTACTGAGAATACAGGGCTCTAAGTCGCTCCAGTATACATCCTTTCCACACTAAAGTCGTTGACATTTGTAGAAGTGATACGTTAAAGTCCTCCCATTCCCTGCTATAAGTCGTATGAAACACTCCCTCATATTTGCTTAAGTGGAAGTTAGCGGTGGGAAAACAATTCCCCACTTTAAGTTGTTTCGCTATGAGTCCAAGTTTTTTGGAACGTATCTTGGACTTATAGCAAGGATGGCCTGCCTGTACTTCAGTTTTCTGAGGGCTATGATATCTTGGTCAAATTTCAGTTTTGGGTTTAGTATGAAGGTGCTGGGTGGTGGTGGTGACAGTCAGTGATGGACAGCATATCAAACAGCAAATCACCTAACGAATATCACAGGGGTCTGCAATCTATGGCTCTTGAGCCAAATATGGCTCAGTATGGAACCAAATATGGCTCTTTTGTCGTTCCCAAAATACATGCAACTTTTAAAATTAAAACTCATAATTTAAAAAAATGTGTAATTACTCATGTAGCTTGAATGCGTTGCATGAATCTGAATTTGACCAGTTATGATGTAAACTTCAAAGAAATGTGCAAAAAGGTGCAGCAGCAAAAGTCCCATTAAATCAAGTCTGTGAGTACAATGATTCATTTATGCTATTATTAATCATCATATCAATTGTCAGTACTGCGTTATTAAGTTGTGTATTTTCAGTTATGCAATCGGCATTCTTATACTGGCTGTTTGTTGACCACTTGTTCTTAATTTTGATGTAGTTTGGTTCTTTGGTTTGAATAGGTTACTGAACCATGAAATAAGAGATATTAGGCTTATTTGCTGTCTAATGGTCATATAATTTACCCATGATCTTTGTGCAAGCCTCCCAATGTCATCAAAGGGCATTTAACACCCTATTGTAGGTGCTGAAGGGTGACTTTCCAAGAGATGATATTTAAAACCTATTTTGCTTTAATTATAAAGATCAGCTGGAAGTTGTTTCAAAGCTGTTTATTTTTTCCCTTCTTGTTGAAGGCATTAGATCTTTAGCCCATTAGATGGTCCATCTATACTGAGAAATACATCTAGTCAATATATTGGCTTGTGACATTGGAAGCTAAGATAATGATACTTGAGTGATAGTAAGGGAGTTTTAAAAGTTATTTACTTAATACCTATTTAATTCATACTTCTGCCAGATACTTGGGAGATGAGGGTTTTTTTTTTTTTTTTAAAAGGTTCAGGAACCCTTCACCTTTGCTTTAAGACTGAGGACTCTTCTGGTCATGTTTCTGTCCTGGAGCAATAACAGGGAAGTCAAGGCTGGATGTTTCTAATATAAAAAAGCAGGGAGAAAGGTCTTTTGTTGTTCGTGGTGTGTGTGTGGGTTTTTTTTAAGAACACATTTGGGCTTTCCTACTATATCCTTTAGAAAAAGGCACAAATGCTTTTCTTTTTGCAGGTACTATTTAGTGATTTGTAACTATCTTTTCCATTTGTTTCAGGTAAGCCACGGAGCCGATATGCTGTGAATAGCACTAATGACAACACGGAAGACCAAGATGGAGACTCTAGGTAAGAGAATTTCCCCTCGACCAAAAGATTCAAAATAAAAGAGGAGACTGGGCCATTCTTTCTTGCACACTTGTTGAGTAGGCAAATCCTCTTGTTCTGTATGAAAGGAGATGTGCAAATAAAAACTGAGTTAATCTCAGACACATGCTGGATGCCCCTTCTAAGCAGGTGCTTCTCATGAGTGTCAGGGTGCTGCTGAAGGTACTGTTTTGAGGCAAGATGCAAATCAGACATTCTAATCCCTTGTGGTCATTAAAGAGCCCATGTCATGCTTTCAAAATGGGAATGTTCATGCTGTGGCCTTAGGCAGATTTTAATTCTGCCTACCTGCATCTACAGTTGGGAGTTAGTTGGATGCAGTGTTCTTCCTTACTGCCTTAACATTCTTGGAACTCCTTGCCAGAGGAGGCTGTGAAGGCTAGGACTATAACAGAGTTTAAAGAGAAGCTAGATAATTTCATTTAGGTTAGGTCCATAAAAGCTATTAGCCAGGGGATAGAAATGGTGTCCCTGGCCTCTGTTTGTCAGAGGCTGGAGGTGGATAGCACGAGACAAATTGCTTGATCATTGCTTCGGTCCACCCCCTGTCGGGCACTTGGTGCTGGCCACTGTCGGCAGACAGGCTACTGGGCTAGATGGACTTTTGGTCTGACCCAGTACGGCCTTTCTTATGTTCTGTATTCTTATTCATGTAGAGTTGTGCACAAATAAACTGGTGTTTTTCCCCAGAGGTAGCTGCAGTTCTTTGTTGGATGAAGAGATGTCTCAGAAGGATACTGACATTTATACAATCTTTTTAAAGTGCTCGGGATCCCTGGATGAAAAGTACTCTGGAAGTGCTGTGTGTTCCTGTATATTATTCAGTTTAAACATTCTTCTTCCTGCAAAGTCTGCTACATTGTTCTGGTTTGTGCATATTGCAAACTTTATCACTGTGGGTTGTCACAGCTATTGGCAAATTCAGTAGGTACCCTTAGACTTAGCTAAGTTGGGGTTCTTTGTGGCATGTTTTTTAAATGTTGCAAAATAATAAAGGGCCAGATTCTGTCACCCTGAATCCTGCGGAGAAAAGTGTTGTTTGAAATCAGTAAGACTAGTTACATGAAAGATACTACCTAATGTGAGAGAAGTTGGCAGAATTGGACCACAAAAGGGGAAATTTGTGTCCTAGTCCTACAAAGATTTAAGCATGTGCTTACTTTTACTACCATGAGTAGTCCAATTGAAACCAGTAGAACAGCTCACGGTAGGAAAGTTAAGCTAGTACATAAGTCTTAATGGCATCAGGGCTTTAGAAAACAGTTCTACCGATGAGAGAAAACAAATTGCTTGCTCTGTGTGTGTGTGTGTTTTTTTTTTTTTTTTTTTAAATCTTTGGTGTCTTAGAATGCTGCAATCAGAGATGTCCTCAGTGAATTCAGTACAAGGCAGCAGATTCCATGGGAACTAAAAACTTTAAAACCCTAGTATTTTAAAAATTAGTTCTGTGCTAAATCTGCCACAAAGCCAAATTAGTGGAGCTATTCAGCATGTGTTTCTTTGGTTAACTCAGGTTGCTTTGAAGTCACTGTTAAAGTTTGGCCCTAGTATTTTGTAGTCTATATTTGTAAAGCAAGGGAATGCTGTGCTGCTTTTGTCATTTCAAATATGTATCAAAATGCCAGGAAAAAAAGGGAAGCTGTTAGTCCTACAGATAATGACCAGCATGAGATCCAAAACCAGAGCTCAGAGAACTTTGTCATGCTTTTAAAGATCTCAGTTACCAAAATCTCCTAAATCCCAATATTCATTGCATTGTGACCTTGTACATTACTGATCATTGTAAGGAAAAACAACATGAATATTCAAACAACTGGAGTTACTGGAATATTGCATTCTGTTCTGGAGTCCATTTCAAAAGGATATTGAAAAATTGGAGACTGTCCCAAGAAGAGCCACCAGAATGATGGGAAGTCTGGAAAACATACCTTTCAGTGAGTTACTTAAGGAGCTTAGTGTACATAGTTGATTGGTCATGGCATAGAAGGATCTACATATGGAGAACATTTTGGATAGTAGATAGTTCTCTAATTTACCAGGTCAGATGAAAGTGCTTTTTATGAGCTTATACATTTGCATTCAAAAGTGCAGAGGTGGCTCCATTTTAAACCTAATAGCTGTGACAGTCCTTTTCTGAAATTACACTTGTCTAATTCTTCTCTTACATAAGTTGTTCTCTAGTTCCCAGGATAATCAGTATTTTTCACTACTTTTCTTCCACATGTTAATGGAAGAAAAGTGATAAGCTCTTGTTTGCAGCTGAAGAACTGATGTAACAGCTAATCTGATCCCTGTCTTCAGAAATAATAGTTGATAGCAACAAGTGACTTCTTCCTTCAGATTACTGTATGTGCTGTTACGTTTTCAAATTGCTTCCTAAAATGTGCTAACTTGAACATTCTTCAAATACGAAGTCATACCAATGCCTTCTGTTTTGCTTTTTTATCTTGAAATAGATGGCTGGACAGCTTCAGTTTTCAGATCTGTATCTTTCAGTAGATTGTGACTCTGAGTCTTCTTTTTTCTTTATGCCATCATCTGGGATCAAGTCATCAAGGAAGATTGCATCATCTTTGTGTCTTTGTATGGCAGCACTAAGATCCATCTGCTTAGGTCCCCCATCTTTGAAATCCATCCATAACTTCATTGGCTTTCTTCCGGTTCTGTTTGCTACCATTCTGTCTTCGCCTGGTTTTCATTCATCCTCTGTATATGTCTGGGACAGGGAAGTCACACTTCCTGGATTTTTGTCAGCAACATCAGATGTTCACTGCAATCCTAATGCTTTCATTTGAAATCTGTCACATTGTGTAACTCCTTTTATAATGCAAAGACCTCTTATCTTGGACAGCTGTAGGCATTGAACTTGCTTTTCATCACCCATGTTTCTGCACCATACAGCATTGCCGGGTGTGCTATTATTCTATGAAGTTGGGCTTTCAGTCACAGTGGCATATGCGTGTTGCACACAGTACTTTTGATGTGGTTTAAGTGAGAAACCAGTGTGAAACATTTAATTGCACACCAGTAAACATAACTTAGTTATAAGCAAGCCCTGGGTGGGAAGAAAAATTAAATAAAAAAATCAAATACAACTTTTAATTGGCACATGAGACAAGTTGCCAATAGTTTTATAGATCTGTACATAATACAATTACTCCTAAGGTGGAAAGAAGATAATATGCATTAGACTTTAGCAATAGCAGTCCCCGATATTAGAATTAGTTTTTAGTGAGAGATTTGGCAAAGCTATGAAATAATTACAAGGAGTCTGGTGGCACTTTAAAGGCTATCAAATTTATTAGAGTATTTATTTGTATTTGTGGTCCCTGATTAGAATAACTTGCTTTTGAAGATTAGCTTTTCTTCTTACTGATGGTATTACTGCAGGGATAGTTAGTGTGGTTTGGGTGTCTGAACTCTGCATTTTTATAGCTTAATGTAATTGGATTTAAAAAATAATAATTTTAACTTGAAATTCCTGGGTTTATAATGCTTTTCTGAAATATATCATTCTTGTGATCTTTTTTGCCTACTGTTATTGGCCTATACTCTTCACCTGAACTCCATGGAAGAGGAAATGGTCATGCTTTGGAGGATAAGATCATAATTCAAAATGATCTGGACAAACTAGAGAAACGGTCTGAGGTAAATAGGCTGAAGTTTAATGAGGACAAATGCAAAGTACTCTACTCAGGAAGGAACAATCAGTTTCACACATACAGAATGGGAAGTGATTGTCTAGGAAGGAGTACTGCAGAAAGGGATCTAGGGGTCATAATGGACCACAAGCTAAGTATGAGTCAACAGTGTGACATGGTTGCAAAAAAATAAAGCAAACATGATTCTGGGATGTATTAACAGGAGTGTTGTGAGCAAGACACGAGAAGACCTTCTGCTTTACTCTGCACTGATTAGGCCTCAGTTGGAGTATTGTGTCCAGTTCTGGGCACCACGTTTCAAGAAAGATGTGGAGAAATTGGAAAGGGTACAGAGAAGAGCGACAAGAATGATTAAAGGTTTAGAGAACATGACCTATGAAGCCAGGCTTCATGAACTGGGCTTGTTTAGTTTGGAAAAAAGACGATTAAGGGGGGACATGATAGCGGTTTTCAAATATCTAAAAGGGTGTCACAAGGAGGAGGGAGAAAATTTGTTCCTCTTGGTTTCTGAGGACAGGACAAGGAGTAATGGGCTTAAAGTGCAGCAGGGGAGGTTTAGATTGGACATTAGGAAAAAATTCCTAACTGTCAGGGTGGTCAAATATTGGAATAAATTGCCAAGGGAGGTGGTGGAATCTCCCTCTCTGGAGATATTTAAGAACAGGTTGGATAGACATCTGTCAGGGATGGTGTAGACGGAGCTTGGTCCTGCCTTGAGGGCGGGGGGCTGGACTCGATGACCTCTTGAGGTCCCTTCCAGTCCTATTATTCTATGATTCTAATAAGCCTAGGCTTATTGGGTAGTTGAGTCACTACTTGATTAGTTGCTTTTCCCCCCCTTGCTGCCTCGGATAAAGAGGCACCACATGGGGGGAACAGGAGCCGGTGCTGGGGGGAGCCAGCGTAAAAGCCAGTTCCCCCGCATCCCTGGCTCCATGGGAAGCAGCGGGGGAAATGGCGCTAACAGGAACCAAAGTAGTCCCTGCTCGCGTGGGTTCCCCACTGCGCCTTTCCCTTTGAAATGTACAGGAGTCACTGGCAGCTTTTGTACATTTCAAAGGCAGAGGCGCTGTGGGGTAGCGAGTCCCCCCCCCCCCCCATCGACTAATCGAGTAGTTGATGGAAATTCCATGGACAATCTGATTAGCGGATTAATCGAAATTTAACATCCCTAGTCCAGAGAAGAAGAGCAACAAAAATGATTAAAGGCCTAGAAGCCATGAGTTATAAGGGAAGATTGGCCCCAGACTCCATGTAGCGCTGCTTCTTTGAAGTACCCCCTTCTTCACTGCTCCCCTTGCTGCCTCTTTCTGATAGAGGCAGCAAAATGGGGGAAGAGGGGTGTGACTAGTTGACAAGCTTGTTGACTATCCAATAAGCATTTGCTTATTGGATAGTCGACTAGTCTTTCACATCCCTACTTGGGAGATTGTGGAATCTCCATCAATGGTGATATTTAAAAGCAGGTTTGATAGACATCTATCAGGGATCATCTAGACAGTGCTTGGTCCTGCCATGAGGGCAGGGGTCTGCATTTGGTGGGACCTCAAGAGATCATTCAGTTCTAGTATTCACCCCCTTTTTGGAAGCATCTGGAATAACAAAAACACTTGTACTAAAAATTTTCATGCATCTGATGAAGTGGGTTCCAGCCCACAAAAGCTTATGTCTAAGTAAATGTGATATCCTTTAAGGTAAGCATGTAAGAGTATAGCTGTTTTAATGGACAACTGACAGGCATGAGTTTACTGGTTTACCCCAAATGGTTGCACATGGCTTCCAGTCCATCTCATGGGGCGGCAAGTGGGAGCCGGTACATGCGAGTATCAGGCTTCAAAGCTGACTACTGGCACGCACCGGTTACTGGAGAGCTGACTGCCACTCTGCGCTGCTTGCCTCTGTGTCAGAGGTGCAAGGCAGGAGCCAATGCACGCCCCATATAACTGCTTAAATTTTGTGCATTAATTGATCTGTATAGACTCTTTGGGTACATACCAAAATTTCCCTAATGTGCTTTAACATATAGGTTGAAGCAATACTATGTTGTACTAAAGGTACAAACACACTACATGCTAAATCAGGTGTTCAGCTATAGAGATACAAACCTGAAACTAACATGTAAGTCTTTTTTAGATTTATAAAAAAAATTAGAGTAGATCCTATTTATACAAGTACTTTGGGATGTCCTCCTTGCATCTTATTACAGTATAATTTTGGGGCAACTACATACAATTTGAATGGTTAAAAAATAACCCCCTCCCCTCAAATGAAATGAATAAAAGCTGGAAAACAAGAACTCTGTTTATCCCATCTGGCATAAACCAGTGTAAGACAGTTATATTGTATATAAAAGTGATCTGCACTAGGAGAATTTAACCATACCATTATAGGTAAACTGGCTAAGTTAAATACATACAAGACCTAAGTTTGTGGCATAATAGAATTCTGGGCACCGGACTGGGAGCCAGGAATTCTCTGTTCCCAGGCTGATTCAGCTGAGACAGCCATGTTAGCTCCAGGCTTTTGCACAAATTGATTCTTAAACCCATGTACTGTTAAACAACTACTGCAGCGTGTTTCTTCCAGAGAGCATTCTGCAGCTGTCTGCTGAGCTGAGGAGTCCGATATAGATAAGGCAATGCTAGTTTTGTAGCACCAGGAAAACAACTCTCTCTCTCTCAGCTCTTCTTACTCCTTCACCCTCTACCACATGGAACACAGTCCTCTTGCCTTATACCTGCTGCTTCAGTCTTTGGTTCAGTTGTGGGAGCTATAAAAACCCATGAGACACAGTCTCACTATATCAGAGGTTTTTCTGTTGTTGGTCTCATGTATGTATCTTTTGCTAATACAACTATTTTAATAGCTCAGACTCAATAAAGCAGGATGTTGCTGAAGAGTGTACTATGGGATTATTCTATAACTGTGTGTTCTGGTGAAGCAGTGAGGCAGGCCCTCACTTCCTGATTGTAGGAATGAACGCCTCATCTTCACAAGTGGATGTCTATCCCTTTCCACTTCCTGACAGGCACCTGCTCCCTTCTGATAGCCTCTCTGTATACACCTCCTCTCTCTGTCCTTTTGCCAAGCATCTACCTGGTACCCCTTTCATCAGTAAAGCACCTGACTTTCTATCCAATTTTTTAGAAACCCATCCCATGATTCCACTTCTCCCTCCATTTGTGACACTACTTTTTCCATTTGTAGAGTACTGGTGGTTTACTTTGCTGGAAAGTGGCCAGCAGGAGGCTATTACCTTTCCAATTGACTCAGAGTTGACATTTTGATTTTCAGATATTTCGGCTTTTAACATGTATGGTATCAGGCAGCTGGCCAAACTTTCAATTTCATTATCCCACCTTTGGAAGCATGTCCTTTATTGTTCTTGAGAGAAACATTTCTGTATGCTCTGTCCACTGGTATCTGGAA